CTCGTCCTATGGGCACGGCCTGCAGCCGCGGTTCGCCGGCTTCTCATTCACCTTTCTGCCTTTGCTTGTTTCCGCCAGCCTGTCTACCCTGCCTTCCATGCCACCCCACTCCCTCCCCTCCTCTGTCCTTCCTAGCCGTGCGCCACCGTCCTCGTGCTTTTCTCTTTCCGTCCGTCCGTCCGTCCGTCCGTTTCTCCGCTTACCTCCGCTTACCTCCGTCTACGTGGCCTCATTAAAAAGTCGCCACTCACCCGCGGACGTCTCCGCTTCAACTTACGCATTGTCGAGAGCAACGGACGATGACACTCGGAACAACCGTCCGCCACTCGTTAGCTTGACCGGTGAACGAGCTCTAGCCAGCTTCTATCTCTCCGCGTCTTTTCGCGTCTGCCACGCTTAATTCTCCGAGCACCGAGTCGTCGTAATCGTTGAGGTTTCGCGGATGATTGTCGAAAAGAATTTTTCCCTGAAGGAAAGGAAATTTCTTACGAATTTAAAAGAAAAAAAAAAAAGAAACGTAAGCTGACGATTAGAGAGATATCTAAATGCCATCAAGCAGACCGGTTGCTAATGCCCGTGGTTGCAACAATTGACAATTGACGAGAACCGAAAAGAAAGATGTACTGGCAAACCTACACTGGCTGCGTTCTCTACTGGTTGCGCTCGCTTGGTTGCGTTGCCCTGCTTTTTTAATAATGCGCGATAGTCAACTGGAACGCTGTGCGAATCGCTGTTCCAAGTCTCACCGGTTATCGGATTCGATTGGGAATTTCAGCGAAGACGAGCCGAATGGGGGACCGGTGAACGGAGTACGGAGGAGCCTCCAGCTGACAGAGGACTCCGACCCGAGTTCCGTCTTCGACAGCGTCTTTATGTCCATGTCCGACACTCTCAACTCGATAAATACTCTCGAAAGTTCCGATCAAACTCCCGACGACAAACCGCAAAACACTACCGGCGACAGAGTACCACTTGCACAGCCCGACACCACACGGTAACACACCACATGCAAAACCGTTCTCCGGCACGATGATGCTCTAGCGCTTTCGATTCTCCTGCACTGCCACGGCTTCGATTCGGTTCTCGATCGTCCGTCCAAATTTTTCCCACGTACGTCGAATTTCACGACACCTGTTGCGTTTTTGTAATTCCGCCGCGATATTTGCGACGTGTGTGATCAATCAATTTTAGAGATCGTCTTTTTCGGCGGGGTGTGGATCTTGCGAAAAGCTTCGGAGGAAACTCGCGTTTCGAATTGCTATCTCGTAGCGTGTTGTTCAAAGGTAAGTAACGCGAGATACAAAATTGGCAAAGAAGCGCGTATTTGCTCTGAGAATCTTCGTTGGACCAGTGTCGATCGGCCGAAAGCGCTACTGCATGACGTTCAACCTAACCTTTTTAATTCTTTATCACACACACGA